TGTGTGTATGTGTGTATGTGTGTATGTGTGTATGTGTGTATGTGTGTGTGTATGTGTGTGTGTGTGTATGTGTGTGTGTGTGTGTGTCTGTCTGTATGTATGTATGTATGTATGTATGTATGTATGTATGTATGTATGTATGTGTGTGTATGTGTGTATGTGTGTATGTGTGTATGTAATTATGTATGTATGTATGCATGCATGCATGCATGCATGTATGTATGCATGTATGTATGTATGCATGCATGAATGCATGCATGCATGAATGCATGCATGCATGCATGCATGCATGGATGCATGCATGCATGCATGTATGTATGTATGCATGTATGGATGGATGGATGGATGGAAGGATGGATGTATGGATGTATGGATGTATGGATGTATGTATGCACGGATGGATTTGTGGATGAGTGGATGAATGGAACGATGGGTGGTTGGGAGGATGGATGGATGGGTGGGTGGGTGGATTGGTGGATGGGTGGATGGGTGGATGGGTGGAAGGATGGATGTAAGGATGGATAGATGGATGCATGGATGGAGCTAATCAATAATCAACAAATATAATTTTGTTATAATAAATAGAGGAAAGAAAGGAGTGAAAAATAGACAGCTCTTAAAGCTAAAGGATGAACATTGCTGTACTCACGTTTCAAAAACTCGTCCGTCTGTTGGTCAAAGATGCGGGCTAGGTATCCCTCAGTATTGTTCTGAGGTCCGCCCAACTTTTTTTTGCAGTTTTGTGTAGCCCAATAGAGGCTCTCTAAGGTAGAATATATTTTGAAGCAAGAGTTTCTCCGGGAGTAGTTGGCCCAGTCACTGGGGCATTGCGCTGACGCTGAAAACACAGAATGATAACAATAACAATAAGGGTGCCACTATAAGGGCCTGCTTCTTTTCCTTCTCTCTGTTGTTTCTGTCTGTGTGGGTTGGTAGGTGGTTGGAAGGCGCCACTGGTAGGTCCAACTTCTTTTCTTTCCTTCTGTTGTTTTTGTCTGTGTGGGTGGGTGGGTGGTTGGAGGGCGCCACTGGTAGGTCCTACTTGTTTACTTTCCTTCTTTTGTTTCTGTCTGAGTGGGCTGTTGGAGGGGGCCACTGGTATGTCCTACTTTTTTTCTTTCCCTCTGTTGTTTCTGTCTGTCTGTCTGCCTTACTTTTCCCCAAGCACTAAGTGATCATTCTTGTTTCGGTGTGCTTCTCTTTACTAAAATTAACCAACCAACCAATCTATCAACCAACAAGCAAACAAATAGAAAACCCCCCAAAACAAACAAACAAACTCACAGACAGACAGACAAACAAACAAATAGAAAGAAAGACAGACAGACATACAAACCAACCAAAGAGCCACAGAGCATGCGTGTGGGTGGTTGGCAGGTGCTCTGGTGTGGTTTGCTTCTGCTTTCCTATCAAACATCTATCGTCTTTAGCTCCCTCCTTCTTTTTTGTGTTTGTTACTCTCTCGTAATGCCTCTAGTCTTCGGCACTTATATGATCTTTTTGTGTTGCAAGTGCCGTAAAACTCTTACTGAAACAAAGAGCGTGCGTGACTCACCCACGGGCTGTGCCACAGAGAGCAGTAGGCTGAGCAAGCCACAGACAGATGTCCACGTCACGGGCGGCCACATCTCGACCTCTGACCTATGACGTCACTCCACGAGAGGAGAATCGATCTTTAAGGTCCGCTGGAGCTGGTCAAAAGATTGTCAAAAAATGGTTAAAAGATGGTTAAATGATGGTCAATACTCGGTCAAAAAATGGATAAATTCTAGTCGAATGATAGTCAAAAGATTGTAAAAAGATAGTTTCAAAATTTCCAAACGACCATCAAAGATATTCAAAAGATGGTCAAACGATGATCAAACGATGATGAAAATGTAGTAAAGTCATGGTGTCATTCAAATAGACATCTCCAATCATAGCAAATCACCTTCTCATGGGGCCACTACCAAAAAGATAATTCTTTGAAAACTATCATATCAGCCTTGGAGTGGCCCCCAGTAAATAGCCCCGGTATGAATCCTACAGGTATGTGAAGTCCTATGAAACAGCAGCTGAAGAAAAGCGACGTTGCTCCCAATTCAGACGCCCGAAACAGAGGCCACGAAACTGCCACAGTTTTGGGTGGTCTGGGTGAAATGAACAAAACTGCCCTCGTGAGAATCAGTGGCTGGCTTGATTTAGTGGACTACATCGCTCATTTTGTAATGTCGTCATTCAAGTAGACATGGGTGGTTGGCAGGTGCTCTGGTGTGGTTTGCTTCTTCCTTCCTATCAGAGATGTATCGTCCTTATCTCCTCTTCTTCTTTTTTATGTTTGTTACTCTCTTGCAACACGCTAACCTTCTGGCGCTCATATGAACTTATGCAGTTGCGAGCGCCGAAAACCTCTACTAAAATTAAAACAGACATCTCCATGCACAGCAAAGCACTTTCTCACAGGGCCAATGCCACTAGACAATTCTTGGAAAACCAAATCATAATATCAACGTGAGAGTGGTCAACCAGTAAATAGCCCCGATATCCCGATATGAATACTGCAGGCATATGAGCGAAGTCCTATGAAGAAACAGCAGCGAATAAAATCAGCTTTGCTCCCAATTCAGACCCTCTGTTTGCAACCGACTATGACATTTGGAATGAAAAGACAGATAATTACTCAAAAATCTAATAGATTGGATGCCCAAAGGGTTCGAGCTCTACCATAGAGTTATCTCCTTTTTTACTAGAGTCCGTACGAGGTCACGTGATACGGAAACGTTTGAGTTTGTAGGCGGTCATTTTTCGGTGGGCGAAAACGTTTGTTTACATGTGAGTGGGCGTGTCTCTGCTCTTA